GATGATGACACCTAGGAATTTGAGAATCTGGACCACTGCGGACCCACTGATGTGAATGGGTGCCTGGTCTGTTCCTGTGGTCCACCATCAGCTCCTTAGTTCTGCTGGTGTTCAGAGAGGGGCTGCTGTCCTGACACCATGCTGTCAGCGTTTCTACCTCCTCCCTGTAGGCGGACTCATCACCGTTCATGATCAAGCTGATGATCGTTGTATCGTCCGTTAACGTGATGAGGGAGTTTGTCTTGTTCCTGGAGACGCAGTCGTGGGTGAACAGGGAGCAGAGGAGAGGGCTGAGTTTGCAGCGCTGGGGAACACTAATGTTCAGAGTCAGGGTGGAGTATGTACTTGTGCCGACTGAGCATGATGCCCAAGAATAATTCCCAGATGTTCATTCTGTAAATTTCTTTCATAATGGCCAGCAGCCATGTCACCCTGCAACTCCCAGCTGGCAGCGCCACTGGAGCCCAGCAGGTGTGAGCCTGGCCAGTACCTGCAGGGGAGACTCCGGGGAAAACACTGAGGCTGCTGCTGGGAGAGGTGTGAGTGGGGCCAGCAGGGGGCGCTCTCACCCTGCAGTCTGTGTGGGTCCTGGTGCCCCAGTATAGTGACGGGGACACTGGACTGTAAACAGGCGCGTCCTGCAGATGAGACGTCAAACCGAGGTCCTGACTCTCTGTGGTTATTAACAATCCCAGGGTGTCTCTCGAGAAGAGTAGGGGTGTCACCCTGGTGTCCTGGTCAAATTACCCCCCTGGTCTTTACCCATCATGGCCTCCTAGTACCCCCCTCTCTGAACTGGCTTCATCCCTCTGCTCTCCTCCCCATTGAGAGCTGGTGTGTGGGGAGAGGACTGGAGCTTCATCCAGGTGGGGCTGCACACTGGTGGTGGTGGAGGGATCCCCAGGACCTGCAAAGCGCTTTGAGTGGAGTGTCCAGAAAAGCACTATAGAAGTGTAAGCAATTATTATCATTATTATTATTATTATTATTATTATAATAACTTTTAAGTTACGTTTGTCAAGAAATGACTTGAGCAAATTGTACTCCTTTTACCTGTGGAGAGGTTGGTCTCCTCTCATGTCTAACCTCCCTGATGCTCCTGTCTCTCCTCCTGTTGCAGTGAGTGAAGGGGACCCTGCAGTCAAACCCAGACTCCAGCCCCG